GTATATGAAATTGTGTGTGTGTGTGTGTGTGTGTGTGAGAGAGAGAGAGAGAGAGAGAGAGAGAGAGAGAGAGAGAGAGAGAATGTCAGGAAGAAAGGGTTAAATGAGCATGTACACTGACTGGGTAATGGAAAGGAGGAGGGCATGCTGGACGATAGCAGGCTCTAGCCCTGCTATGATTGTCTTACCCCTTGCTCTAGGAGAAAATTTTTGTATCCGTTCTTAATGGGAAACTGTGCGGGTCCCAGACAGGTGAATGAGTTCGATGCCCAAATGTGGGTTTTAAATCGCTTCTCCTGCAGTATGGGCTCTGCACACCTTATTCCATTCACACGGGGGAGCAAGAATTGCAGGCCTGTGGATCTAAACACATAAAGAACTCAAGTGTGTGTGTGTGTGTGTGTGTGTGTGTGTGTTTATTAAAGCGACTTGTGTCTGATAAACACTTAGGTGACCTTCTCCCTAAACCTGAAACTTCGGAGAGCTTGATTCATCTTCCCCTGCAGTTTGGTTAGGTCTTTATGAGTGATTTAGGGAGATTACCTGAGTGTTAGTGACTGCCTTGGGAGCCACCAGCAGGACACCAGGCCTGACCACAAGCTGTCACATAACAGCTTTTCCAACCACAAGTGATTAAAAACAAAAACCCAGAATGTAGATGCAGATGAAACACTGGCTCTATGTCTTCCCTTGGAGGCGCCATGCTGTGGGCTGCTCAGAATGCTGAGCTACTCTTTGAAGATTGCTATCCTAGTCTGGAGTAGGTGTTCTACATCTATATGTGAACAACACTCTCCAGATTGTATTATTTTGGAAAGCAGATAAAAGCAATTTGCCACACATGCTTAGCTGTAGAAGACATTTCCAACCAGCCAAATTTAAATTGAATACATTTTATGTCCATGTATTGTGTTCTCACCATATACAGAGAAGCAGAGACAGTTTTCTGAGGCAATAATGCTGGTATTCATTTGTGGCTCATGAAGATGTTGGGAAGGCAATTACCAAAGGGAATCTCTCAAGGTTTTTTTTTTTTCAATAGTGCTGTTGTAATAAGTGTTTAGTCTCTCCAAGTGACTACTTAAAAAGAAAAACATAATTTAGATGGATATATAACATGCCTGAAGAAAAAGTCTCATTGGTCGTAATGTTTTCCTCCCTCCCTCTCTTTTTTCCCCTCTGTGTCTTCCTACATTGCTGAGGATTGAACCCAGGCCCCTGCACACGCTAGGCAAGCACTCTACCTCTGAACTTTGGCTCTGGCCAGATGTTCTCTTTAAATGTTATTTGGAAAGGCTTAATAAGCAAAGGTTCTCCTCCTCTTTCCTACCTTCTGGCCTCCTCCAACACTGAGACAACCCAAAGAACCAGCACATTGTTTTTGCCCTGGTGATCTTTCCCCTACATCAGATCTCCCCTCTGTAGACCCTTGGCTTCAGTCTTCAATGTTTTCTTGCAGCCTTGTGCTTTTGTTCATACTCTTATGTGGATTCACACACACACACTAATACACACTGCTCCAGGTTTCCCTTCTAGCCTTTGCCCGATTAAACTCTCCAAGTCCTTCAAAGTCAGTTCAGACTCTGCCTTCGCTGGCCTCCAGACGTGATTCTCTCCATTATTTTGCTTGTTATTCTACCCCACCCACAGTGTAATAACCCCATCACCGGGGAGAGGGGGGTAGATAAAATACCAATTGAGTAATGTGAAATAAAGATTAGATCGATTTCCCAATCACAAGGGAGAATTCAGAGTCATAATTAAAAAGGAAATGACATCGGTTTATTTCTATCAGTTACGAGTCCAGTTTTGCCAAGAATGAAGTTAAAAAAACAACAAACAAAAAGACTGACCTTTAAGCTTTCTTTGGGAGCTACATTGGGAGCTGCATGGTGGTACCTGTCTGTAGTCAGGGGGCCATAGCCCGAGGATTGTGAGCTTGGGCTACATGACAAATTCCAGGGCAAGTTGCTCTAATTAATGACACACTGCCTCAAAAGAAAAAGGAAGAAACTGTGCCAGGAAGCTTATGATACCTCGGAGCATATGAAGGTCACACATCTGGCCTTCATTTCTGTGTAGGAAAAAGAGCCCAAAGAGATATGGTTAATTGCAAGACATCAATTAGAAAACAAACATACACACACACACACACACACACACACACACACACACCACTAGCTTTTCACCTCACCTCTATTTTATACCTCATGTTCTCATCCCCTTCTTCATTTATTGCTTTGTTTTCATCAGTACAAGAAAAAGAAAATAAAGCTAAAATGCCAAAAAGTCATGATGTTTTCTCTCTCTCTCAGCAAAAGCTCAAAGACGTGATTTTTGTCAAAGCAAAGAGTTTCTACACACCAATCAGCAAAATGATGAAAACAACCCAGGGATGGGAAAAAAATAGTCAAAAACTGTCCAAATTTGTTTAAGGAATTTGACAACAGTAGTGAAAGTGGTTGTTTTTAAATGGAAAAGGGTCTAAATAGACATCTTGCCCCCATGAATACAAAAAAACGACTGGCAAGTGTATGAAAATGTGTTCAACACTGTGGATCACCAGGGAAATCAAAACCATGATGAGGTTCACCTCAGATCTGCTATCAAAGCATAACAACTACAAAACAAATGTTAAGCACTGTCTAGGATACAGAGAAAGGAGAAGCCTTGGCCAGGTATAGTGACTCATGCATGTATTCCTGGCATTTTGGAGGCTGAGGCAGCAGGATTCCCATGAGATCTAGGACATCCTGGGCTAGAGCAAGAACCTGTCTCCAAAAGAAAGAAAGATTTGTTCACATTTGCCAAGAATGTGAGTTGGCAAAGACATCACACAGCATAATAGGGAAATTTCCTTTAAAATCAAACAGAATTTCAATATGACCCAGTCATCCTTCTTCTCGGTTTACATTCAAAGGAAATAAGATCCTGATGCCAAGCAGATCCCTCTTCTCCCATGGTCTTCGCAGGATTATTCACAGAAGGTGAGATATGGAGGCTATCGGAGTCCTCATCAACAGAGAAATGAGTCAAGAAAACGTGAAACAGTCACTAGGATGTACTGCAGAATCGTCACGTGTTTGTGAAGTCTAAAGACGTCGAGCTCACAGAAACAGAAATGAGAACAGTGCTTCTGAGGGCAAGATTGAGAAAAGGGAAGATGCCGGGCACAGGAAGTGGGCACAGGAAGACGTTGGGTCAGAAGACAGATGAGTCTTAGCGATCCAGATCATCAACAGTGCACTGACTGTTGAGCGATAACTCGTTTTATATTTGAAATTCCTTGTGAAGGCAATTTCAACCGTTCTTTCCTATGTGTGTGCACACGTGTGTGGGTGCATGTGTGTGTGTGGAGGGGTGCGCGTGCTTACGTGCATGCACACGTGGAGACCAAAATCATCATCAGATCTATTCATTCCTCTGCCATTCCCTTCTTTTTTAAGACAAGATCTCTCATTGAACCTGGAGCTTAGAAATTCTGTTAGGCTGACCGGAGAGCAAATCACAAGGATGTGTCTCTAGTTCCTTCCCACACTGGGATTATTGATACATACCACCATGCCCAACTTTTTAATGTAGGTGCCGAGGTTCTAAACTCAAGGCCCCCAGAGTGGGTGGAGTGGTTGTCAAATGTACAAGAGACGTGGGTTTGAGCTCCAGCACTGCAAAAACCAGGCGTGGTGGCACACACCCGTAATCCCAGCACTTTCTTGGGAGTTGGAGGCAGGAGGGTCAGAAGCTCAAGGTCATTCTTCTTGACTACATAGAAAGTTCAAAGCTAGTAATAGAAAGTTCAAAGCTAGTAAGACTCTGTTCCAATAATTAATTAATTAATTACTTGTTAACCACCTAAATTGGGTCCCTGGGCTCACACACTGAGCACTTTACCCACTGAGCCATCTTCTTAGGCTCTAATTCTAAGTACTCACTCTATATTAACTTGACTATAGTCATTATTTCACAATGTATGCATGTAGCATGTCATCAATTGTCTGCTCTAAACACATACAAGTCTTGTTAATCATATCTCAAATAAAACTAGGGGAAATTGCATCCAGAGAAAAATATCAGTAGCTCATTGTAAAGTATATCATCTCCCCCAACATAGTCAGAGAGGATGATTCTACTGATATTATTGCTACCTGAGAATTTAAAATAGCCCATTAACTCTTCATTAACCACATACATTGCTCACAAGTTTTCATCATATGATTAGGCACTCTTGTGTTTCCATAATAAACCTCTATTTCCCACAGATGTGAAGCTGCCTCAGGTTTTGTTGCTTGTTTTTGTGCTTGACAAGATAAGGGATGATGACCAGCAGTGCACTTCTTCAAGGGCAGATGGGTTTCAACTGCAAGCTCAAGTGTAGGCCTAGAGCAACCACAAGCCACTTGGATAGCATCAGGGAGCCAACACTTAAAAAGCAAATAAAAACTGTTGATGATTCAGTAAAGTTATTCCTGGAAATAATAAAAGACAATAGTCTGCACACTGGCCTCAGAGCACACAACATAAATACTGATTTTGGGCCATTACCAACGCCTAACCCAACTTTGACTTAAACTGTAATCCCTTCACTGTGCACCTCTATGTTTGGATGATTTAAATAGTTTCTTTCACTAAGTATCCACAAGGTGCCATAGGAAAATAGCTTAGGAGACTCTAAAGATCTTTGTCACCTTTGCAGTGGTGTCCTGAAGAGTCCCCTTGGAATTGGAATGAGAATTTGTTGAGATCAGAGACTGAGCACTGGAAGGTTTGGCATGACTGGATTCTCCTTAGTCACTTTCAGGGACTCCTGGCACTTGGGAGTATCTGCTCAATAAGTCCTTTCTGTTGCTCAAACAGCATGTTTTTTTCCTTCTAACTTACCAGAGAGCAGCATGGTGGTTGACCAAGCAAGCAGTTATGCAAAGCAGGTGTTTTATATAGTAAAAGTGTCTATATAATACATGTTAAGATTTTTTAAGATCATTTTTCAAGGTTCAGGCCGATGTGCAGCAGGAGTCTAGAAGTAATGGCAGCCTTATCATTTTGGGAAACCACAGTTGAGGACAACGAGCTGGGTGGCTAAGGGGGAAGGTCAATAACGTCCAGCCAGCTGAAAACTGAGTGGCAGAAAGCTGAGGCTGGTAACCTGGGCTAGCCACTCTTAGAAAGCCAGTTGATGGACACAAGGCAAGCTGTAAACATCCTTAGCCTTGTGTAGAGTCCTCCAAGACTCCACCAGTCCTCCGAAGCTCAAGGCTCCTCTGAGGTATGTGTTGTCTGTGTCCTCCCTCTCATCCTCTCTTCGTTACTTTCCTGTTGCTGTGACCAAGGCGACTTATAAAAGGAAGTGTTTACTGGGACTCATGGTCCCAGAGGGTTTGAGTTCATGATCATCTTGGCAGGGAGCTTGGCGGCAGGCGGGCATGGTGGGTGGAGCATTCGCTGAGAGATTGCATCTTGATGCACAGGCACCAAGGGGGTGGAGTGAGGGGTAGCTAACTGGAACAGTGTGGGGCCTTTTGGAATCTCAAATTCCACCCTCACACACCTCCTCCAACAAGCCGTACTTCCTACTTCTTTCCAAACCGTTCCACCAAATGGGAAACCTGTATTTGAATGTGTGAGCCTATGGGGGGGAGGGGGTCATTCTCACTCACACCACCACATACTTTATCCAAGAAATGCAGATTGCTTCCTCCCCTCACTTCTTTCTTTCATCTGCTGCAGCCAGAAGCCTAATCTCACTGGTGCCCCCTCAGCAGGATCTCTAGTGTAGGTTCCAGCCCAGCATGGAGCCCCCTACCTACCCTGAAGGACCTCTTTTCAGAGGTCCACATAGGTGAGGTGGGGCGGCAGCAACGTCCGTGTTGAAAGAGAAGCAGCAAGTTTCGTGCAGAAATGAGGGGAAGGGAGGCTGGAAAAGTAGGCCATTGGTTAAGAGCACTTGCTGTTCTTGCAGAGGACCCAGGTTCAGTTCCTAGCACTCGTGGCGTCTTGTAACCATCCAATAACTCCATGTCCAGGGGATCCAGTGCCCTCTTCTGAACGGTATGGGCACCAGACACACAGGGGGTACACATTCACATGTGCAAGCCGAACACTCAGGTACGTAAAATGAGAAGTAAAATTTAAAAGCTCTTTGATGAAGCGAGGGAAAGGGGGAATGGAGTGGCTGACACAAGAGATGTGTGTCACACATGGAGATGAGGAGGCAGGATGTCTGCAGACATGGGGGCTGATCTTACCTTGATGGGGGTCCCTCCAGTCTCTCTGCCTCACCCAGGGAATTGATTCATCTGCGGCAAGCTCAGACTAGCATTCAGACCAGATGAGTATGAGTCAGTGTGCAGCACACATTAAAAAATAAAGTAAGAATGTTACATCAGTGCAAAGCCTCAGGACGCCAGAGTCAGCCTCGGGGAGCAGCAGCCCACCCCAAGCCTCTAGAGGCAAGGACGAGGGACACTGGTTAGTCTTCAAGGCTGTTAGTCACATGTGTTCTCTCTTACAGGGCTGCAGGCAGTGTGGACATCTGCCCTCACCCTCTAGCCAAGGGAAGCATGCTGCTCAGTGGGCTTCCACTGCCCGTTCTCTAGTTTTCTAGTGGTCTCTGCTGTGGATCCACAACACCCACTCCCCCTTCATCGGTGCTGCCCTTCTTTAGGCAGAAGATGGTGCGATGGGGAGTGCTCTGTTATGTCCCCAGACCATCAGCTCATCTGTCGCTCCCCAGTTTTGGTGTTCAACCTGTGACATTTCAACCCACAGTGGCCATGCCAAGACAGCCCAGGTTCACACTGGACTTATAACCCTCCTCAAGTCATTGGGTTCACCCTTCACTGGAAGTCACTGTGCCCTTGGAGAAAGATATCCATGGCTTATGCCTCCCCTATCCCCACCTTACCCTGACTCTGCACACTGCAGCCGCCAGCATCTTGTCTACAGAGTGCCCGGAGTTAGGGAGGGCTCTTATACACTGTGTAGCACGTGGGCTTGAGAGAACTCACTGCCCTCTCAAAGGTTTGGGTGTGCTTAAAGCTGATTGGTCTGTCAAGCCCCCTGACTCAAGATAGCTGTAGGGTGTGGGTAAGGTGGGGGAAGGAGTGGTGGGACTTGGGAAAGAGCTAGCTCCTTAGAGCCACACAACAGGGTCTCTTCAGTTTATGGAGCTTGACTTCTGATTCAAATGCTAGGTGATTGGGCCCACGCTCATGACTCAAAGAAACGGTGCTTGTTCCTGCCCCCAAATGGGAGATACTCAAGTGAATTCTTTGTCAAAGGCGACAAAGTCACTTTACAGAACTACCATATGATGGTTGCTGGCCACTCCCACCAACAGCTATGGCAACGGCTCCCTTGCTAATCAAGAATCAAGCCCTGGGCTTGTGCTGTAAAACCAAGACACTCTGCCAAAAGAGCTCACAAAATCTTACAGTAATATCGAAATTTTACAACAAATTGTTTCTCTCGCAGCTTGCAGGCTGGGTCAATAAACCCTGTGCCCTGGAATGCACGGCTTTCACATAAAATGCTCTTGGAGTATGATTTGTTTCTAACTAACAGAATTGTCAAGTGGAGGGATTTTTTTTTCTGATGTAATTGAGACTCCAAATTAGCTCATTTTCAGCTAGTTGACTCCGTCAGATGAAGATGAATGCCTTTTGAAGGAGAGATGACCTCCCCCCTCCCATCAGAGGTTCTTCTTTCTGACTTGATGATGTAATCAGTCTTGTTGCAGAAGCCCACATGGCAACTGTCAGGTAGTTTCTAGGATCTGTAGAAACACGTAGGTAGGTCATGAGGTCAGCCTCCTGTTGACAGTCAGTCATGTGTTGGTGACTCCAGCCATGCAGGCATGGGAAAATGAAGTATGCCAACATTGCTCAACAAGCACAGAAGAAAAGTCTTTCCAAGTCAACCCTCCAGATGACAATGCAGCCCAGCCATTGTCTTTATTGTGATTTGTGATATCTGAGCAGAGGGTCATTCCTGGATTCCTGACCCCCAAAGAACTTAGGGGCAAATAGTGCTGTAGACTTTGTCCTCGGTTCTTTTACAAATATTTCAACCCCCCAAATCACATTCTTAAAGATGCATAAATGATATTAAGATTTCTGAGTCAACACTGCATATTAGGGAAGAAGGTATCGTCATCAGAAACTTTGACAAAATTTCTGAAAGCTCAAAAATAAAAAAATGAAAAATTAGGTTAAGCATGGTATATGCCTTTAGTCTTAGCACTTGGGAGGCAGATGCAAGGGAATCTCTGTAAGCCTGAGGCCAGCTTGGACTACAACTAAAATTCCAAGCCAGCCAAATATACAAAATACAATGTATCTAAAAGAAAATTAACTGTGTGTGTGGTGTGTGTGTGTGTGTGTGTCCTAAGTTAACATCTGGAAATAGATGATGCTTTCTTAGAAAATCTGGGTTTTGCTTATTTGTTTGGAAAAAGTACTTTGACAGACTACTAAATTTTTCTGCATTTCAAAAATTTAGAGGTGTGACAGTTGTTTTCATTAGTTCAGTGTTATTATTCCAGTAATATGTTATTTACCCTCTTTTTTATCCAAAAGTACCACACCATATATGCTGTCGTGTCTTGTTTTTCTCATTAAAACAATACATCTTGGAGGTCTCTCTGTATCCATACATAAGTCTTTGTGTTTTTTTTTCACTACAGTATAATATGCCGTTGTGTATGTAGAAGTACCAGAAGTACCAACTAGTTTCTTCCCCAGAGACATTTGGATTGTGTATAGGTTTTTTTTTCTAGTATACACTACACAGAAGGGAATAAATGCATTGCTTATTTTGAACATGTGCAGAACAGTCCACAAGGATAGGTTCCACAATGAGACTTCCAGGCAGATGATGAAGGCATGTGGAATTATATAAATATTGACAAGTTACATTCCTAAAAGTTGGATCTTTTACTCCAGCCACCAGTGAGCATCTGTTTCCCCACAGCCTCTAGAAAGGAGGTATTATCAAACTGTGATTCTTCTGGCTTGATAGTTGAAGAGGACATCTCACTATAGGTGTTTTTTTGTTGTTGTTGTTGTTTTATTGTTTTGTTTTTTTAAGTGATGCTTACAAATAATAGTACCATGGGAGGAAGGGGTGAATGGTGAAACAAACTGGCAGATGTACGTAATGGAGTATTATTCAGCAACTAAGAAGAATGCAAAGTCTTTTGTAAGAAAATGAATGATCAGGTTATCATGTTGAGAAAATTAAACAAGAATCAGAGAGAAATGTTTGCTTTCATAAGTAGACACTAAAAAGGGGGGGAGGTCTTTACGTAAATAAATACCTATACATAAATAAATATGTTTTAAAAAAAGCTGAGAAGCCGGGTGGTGGTGGTGCACGGCTTTAATCCCAGCACTCGGGAGGCAGAGGCAAGTGGATCTCTGTGAGTTCGAGACCAAGCCTGGTCTACCGAGAGAGTTCCAGGACAGGCTCCAAAACAATACAGAGAAACCCTGTCTCGAAAAACCAAATAAATAAATAAATAAAAGCTGAGAACCCTCTGGTGGCACTATACTTAGTATTTTTCAGAAATCTATTTTAAAGTGACAGCAGGTCATACTGGCACAGGGCAGATCAACAGACCAAAAGAAGTTTAAGATGACAAGGGAAAAGATCAATGAACATATGGAAAACCATTTAGCAGCAATAAAAAAATCATCATCCCCACCACCTCATTCCTATGCCCAAATCAATCCCTAGTAGATTAAAGATTTAATTTTTGAAATCTCATGTTTTATTCAATACCTTGAGTTTGGAGATCCTTCTGAGCATAGCAACAAGGCCATTTAAAGGGAAAGAACTAGTAAATTTGACTTCACAAATGTGAAGGGTCTGCGTGACAATATAGAACGCAAGTGAAGTTTTAAAACAATACTATCCTTTCTAAAAATGACACGCTAGGAAAGAGTTAATAAGATATATAACACGTAGGCATTAAAATCACAATGATATAAAGAGCTTTTGGGGGGCGGGGGCTGCGTGTGGGGAGAGGGTAGTCCATGTGAGTGAAGGTTTCCATGGGGGCCACAGGCATCAGGTTCCCCTGGATCTGGAGTTACCTGTGACTGTGAACCACTAGGTGTGCGTGCTGGGTACTGAGCTCAGGGAGTCCGCAAGAGCAAAGTGTGCTCCTAAACACTGGTCCACCTCTCCAGCTCCATAAAGAGTTTATTCAATCAAGAAAGACAAATATCTCACGGAGGAAAAAAAAGCCAATGGTTCTCAAAGACCAAACTACAAAGGGCCAGCCAGCATGTGAAACCGTCAAGAGACGCAAGCAGAACATCAAAACATTTCTTTCCACCAACCAGGGGCGTCGAGATAGATGAATGGTGTCTGTAAGGATTCAGGCATCATGCTCCCCTGCAGCCCTGTCACCCGGCCCAACGCATTCAGGCAGTACCCTGGTCAACCCAGGGTTCCCCGACTACTAGTCTGCACGCAGGTGCAAAGGACCCCTTTAAAAGACAGGCCCCTCCCACCCCACCCCATACCCCCACGCCCACTTACTCTTTTCTAGCTCCCCCACCCCCATTCCCACCCCCCACCCCACCCCACCCCCGTTCCCCTGGCACAGACAGGACATTTCCTGTCTCCCTCTTCTGTCTTCTCTCTGTCCCTGTGTCCCTTTACCTCTTTTCTCCCCTCCCTCCGCTTTCTAATAAAACTTATCACTTAAGCTCTGTCTGTCTGGCATGTTTGTCCCCCGCCTCGGTCACCCTCGCCTGCTGTGGAATCCACCAAGGTTTCCCTCGTGCTGTATCATAACAGCGTCGACTGCAGCGGCTGGGGCTGAGGCTTTCTCCAGGTGAGAGCATAAATTGACTTCCCCGTGGAACTTCGGCAGCAACGCATTGTTCCATGTAAAATACGCAGTTTTCATTCCAACAAACTTACATCTATGAATTTAACTAATAACTGCATGCCTTTCTATAGATTTGCATAAGGAAAAACCAGGAAACACTCTTAGGTATACACACGTGGTAGAATACTATTAAATCACGGTATAGACTTATAAAATCAGTCACCACTGACAATGTTCAGGAAATACTGATGAGTGAAGGGATACTACAAAACACGCTCATAGCCTGAATCCTTTTTAGGGAACCTGAATGATGCTCTCAAAAGGTAGGGGTGTCGAGAGTCACACCACCACGGCCACCACAAGTGAAATGACCCATTCTCTCTGCAACCCAGAAGCATGCAATGCTCAATGCTTAAAAAAAAAAAATGGGTTTGCTGTGGACTGGAAAGATGGAGGGGTTAAGAACACTTATTGCTCTTGCAGAGGACCCAAGTATGGAATATAATTTAAAGCCAGGCCTAAGCTGTTCCCAAGGTTGGTCATGTGAGAAAGAACCTTCTTCTACCCCACGTTAGGATCTCGCTATATTTTAAAACTTACATTAATTTAGTGTGCATGCATAGGTGTGGCATGCACACGCCACAGAGCACATGTGGTAGGCGTTCGGAGCACAATTTACAAGAATCAGTTTTCCCCTTCCACTGCATAGGTCCCAAGGCTCCAGGTCAGGTCGTCAGGCTGAGCCATCTCTGGGGCTCCAGATCTAGCTTTAGTTAGTGAACCCAGAAGCCAGCTCAACACTGTGGTCTGCAAGTACCCCTTGTCCTGCTAATTGGGAATCCAGTTATGGAAGGGGGGAGGATATTATGGTGGATTATGGTGTAAAATGTAGTGTGAGGTTTTCACAAACATCCACCACCTGCTCCTGTATGTGCATAGAGCAACTCCACACCATAATTCGGGGCAATCAGAGGAAATAACAAAGTCTGTGTGTTTGCTATTTTTGCAGCTGTGATTGAACTGTTTTTACATTTCTTCACTGTACTACAAGCTGATAATTTGCTTAACATTTCATCAGTTATTGAACCAGAGGCTTTTATTATTGTTATTATTATTATTATTATTATTATAAAGATGAGATTTCTTTCTTTCAGGGGTAAGTAGGCCAGGTTCCCACATGGGCAACTCTATCTTGGACAGTTATCCTAGGATGCAAAATTAGGGAGCTCTAGAAATACTGGTCCTACATAACTCAAAGAACAGAGGACTAGCAAGGTCCAGCCGCTGGAATTGCATACACAAGCCTGGGTGTAGCCTCCCTCTGCCTGACTTCTCTCAGTGGAGTAGAACACTAGCACCCACCCCACCAGGTTGGGGCAGCTTTTTGGGCAGTCCGATGGTGTTTTAGTCTGTTTTCTGTTGTTCTAACAGAATAACTGAGTAACGGTGATTTATAAAGAACAAAGACACTGTTAGCTTGGGCTCCTGGTTCAGGAGCCTGGGAAGCCCACGTGCACAGCACGGGCATCTTCACAACTTCGGACGAGGGTCTCTTGGAGCCTCAGAGCACAGTTGGATGCAGAAAGGAAGGACAGACTCATGAGTACCTCGTGCTCTCATGGAAACTAAGCCAGTCCCAGAAGAAAAGTACTAACACCTCCTGGCATTCAGCTTGCAAAGGTCCCGCCCCAATCAAATTTCACCATGAATTTTGTGGAGACAAGCCCACATATAAATCATAGCCACTCAGCTATGACCTCCACCCGCAAACACCCCCACAGGCCAACAGAGAACCCACCAGTCATCAGCCTGGAAAGACGGTCTGTCTTCCTCAGGACTACAGTGGTGCACAGTTCCAGGGCCACATTCCGTGTTCCACCCTGAGGCTGTGCCATGTAATCACGTCATGCTTTTGATTCTGTAGGTCTAGCAAGGGAGGGAGGGAGAAGGAAGAAAGAAGCCACAGCCTTGGAGTTGAGGTGTCGTTAAAAGAAGCTGAAGAAAACCAAGTGGGTTTTAAAAGTTAAACTGAATACACGCTACCTGTATATTCACCGTATGGACAGTAGGCCAGCCCTGCCCATAGCTAATGTTTCGTGGGCTATAACACGGTCTCAGTCATGGTTACTGAGGTGTAGATAAGGCATGCCAATCACCATTATCCCCTCTCTCCCAAAACTCATGTAGATGCCGGCCATGAAATGAGTGGGTGTTGCTTTAACCCACCTAGGCCACCAAACCCAAATTTCCCAAGGAAGGTGGAAAACAACTTTACAGAGAAGAAAATAAAACCAAGGAAAGAATGGTCACAATTACAGAATGTGTTTTATGGGAAAGCAAACATGACTTGTGATCTCAGGTAAACAACTGGGACTGTATAAAACAATGTTACCTAACATTTATGCAGAGAGAATGACCAGGCTACTGTATTTTCTAATTAGTTTCTCAGTTCACTGAAGGCAAGGGCTACTTCTGAAATGCTTGAAACATTTATTCATGCCTGTGCCCTTTATCTAATAGCCAGATTCAAGCCCATCTGATTACCTACTGTGAAAGAATGGATCCTGAACGAATTAGCAGATTACCTAAAGAAAGACCCCGAGGCTCTACATCCAGTGTCTACAGGATCTGACTCTCAGACTCTGCGGCCTGTGTGGTCAGTGTGACACTGGGCGTGAGTGTCAAGTTCACAGACACACACTGACCCTGAAGACAGGAAGCAAATAAGCAGTTCTCAAGTTTCCTCCTTCTGGAAGATTCCACAGAGATGGCACCATCTCGAATTCAGGAATGAGGCCAGGCTGGGATGAAG